CAAATGATGGTATATGGGCCAAATCTGGCCCTCCACGTGTTTTTGTAAATAAAGTTTTATTGGAACATAGCCACACCTATCCGCTTATGTATTATCATGACTGCTTTCATGCTAGCCACGGAGTTGAGTAGTTGTGATAGAAACCACATAGCCTCCAAAAATGTTTACAATCTGGCCCTTTACAGAGAACTTTTCAACCCTTGCCCTAAACCACTTTGATACTCTCCTCTATGATGATTCTCTGATAAGAAAGGAAGGACTGAAACTGTGGCGATTGGGAGACACACACACATTCCATTTTCAAGACCTTCACTAGTGAGGAATTGACCAGTATGCCCACACCCATTTCCCTCATGTTTGTCTCTTCCTCTGTGGTATGGAATCAGAATTTTATTCCTGGGAGAGTCTTTGAGATACTCAATCTCACTGTCTCCCATTATAGAAGAGACTCTCTGAGACTCAGAGTGGACCAATGTCACAAAGCTGAGACAAGCCATACCCTTTGGTTCCTGGGAGGTCCCCACTGCCTTTAGAGAGTTGACTTATGTGTTGAAGGGGTTGTGGAAGGGTTGGCTCAGCCCCCTTGTACCCACCACTCCTATGGAGCTGCCTCTGGTATACATGATCCAGCTCTCCTCCAAAACCAGAGTCCTCCTCCACTGGGCTGTGTACCCAAGGGCCTGCCTCTCTGAGCAGTTTCTGGCACCACTAGCCAAAGAGTGGGAAATTTCCCCTTTCAAGCTTGCATTCTGCTTTCATGTCTCTCGCATCCCTCAAATAATCATTACAACACAGCACACAAGCAGCTGTTTGTTAAAGGTGCCAAACCAAGGTGCCACTGAAAAAGGGGATCCTGGGCCACAAACTAGCCCCCCCCCCGCCCCGTTACAAAAGGTATAGCTTCACAGTTTCGTGTTACTCAGTGGACTTGGCTGGCCTAAGCTTGACTCAGGCTGAGTCACCGTGGGCCTACCTGGCTGGCTCCCTGTACAAGCTGACTCCTCTTGTAACCCAGCCCTGGATTCCTTGCTCCTCCTCTCCAATTGTCCCTCACTTCTATCCCCAGGCCTAGGCACCAACTGTTTCTCTCACTAGACCTTCTTAACTTTTTAAGGAACAGGTTACAATAGCTCCTTTCAAAGTTCCCAAGGCCTCCAGGAATGTCCCCAGCTGGCCTCTCCTCTGTCCAATCCCTTTTCAGATTTTACAAACTCTGATTCCCTCCTGCTTTTTTCATGGGTGACTTACCCAAGCTCTCCAGGTCTAGGGTGTATCAACCAAGGTCAACTCAAGTTCTCCCTTCCTAAAATCCCCTTCAACTCTCTTTCCAAAGCTCCTCTGGTTGCTGACTCCTCCTAAAGCACAAAGTAGGGCACAAAGGCAGATGAAGGGGGCAAAGGGTCCCCTGGAGGGTTTTTGCCTCAGTCAAGAGGCTGAGAGATGTCAGCTCCAGAGGCCCTGTGGCCTTGTGAGGTTCTCCTTGGGCCATCGCATTTGAGAACTAGTATCAGTTATAAACTTCCAGGCCAACAGACAGACCTGAACTGACTTTGCGTTTTGATGCCAAGGGAAACTTAGAAGTACAGGTTTAACACAGTTTACACTATTTTTTAATTTTGGAGAGGAAGCACTTACATTTGCACTTTCTTGCACACCACGTTTTCCTTTCAACTATGTAGCACAATAACATTTTTCAACCATTTTAAATTTTAGAATAGAAATCACCATGCTTATTTTTCTTCTAAACTAGCAGTTTTTGAACTTTGTAAGTTAGCAGAACCTTGTTCTCAAACAAAATTTTAGTCGATTTCCTTTTTATAAAATAAATAAATGTTGAGTTACTGGGAAAGAGGGAAAGGGCAACCCCTGAGGCTTTTCTGTAGCACCTAAAGGTTGTAGTGAACGTATTTTTTAAAACCTGTACTTGAGAATATAACCATCCTTCACTGAATCTAAAACACTGGCTATTATAAGACATGCCATGTAGTATGAAGAAAGAAAAACACCTTGCTACTTCAATATGCATGCCACTATTGATCATAACACACAAGCCAATTTCAAAGATGTTAAAATATGGTCAGTGCATAGCTGGAATTGATTATTTACAGTGGTTTACATAAATATACACATAAATCATGTTCATTTAGTAACACAGTCAATCTGAAAGTTAAATTTAAGTGAAGTGGCAACAATAACTTCATGTAAATGCTAACTTCCATTTACTGTGCACTACTAAGGGCTGTGTACCAGGCAAATGCCAGCTGGAGGGGTCTCCTGGGCACTCCTGGCCTTTCTTCCACATCACGATGTTTCCATTCATTGAGCACTTGCCAAGCACAGTGCTGAGTGCTATACATGCATTGCCTCATTTCATCCTGATACGAACCTTCCAAAGCAGGTATTATTCTGCTATTTTATAGAGGTAGAAATTGAAGCTCAGGGAAGTTCAGCAATCTGCCCCAAGTCACACAATGAGTAAATGTAACAGGTCAGATATTCTGATGTCAAAGCCCATGCTCATTCTACTTTCTAGAGTGTTCTAGAAAATTCTGAGTCGGGGGAGACTTAGAGGTCACTGTTCCCCATTTAAGAATCTCCTTTCCCAGCATCCTTGACAGATGGTGCTGTTTCAGTAAGTCTGACCAGATAGAAGAGTCTACCTTTCACTGAATCTAATTCAGTGATTATCAAACCTGCCCAATCGTCAAAAATATCTAGAAAGCTTTTAAAAACACAGATTCCTAGGACCCTCTTTTAAGGTGTTTGTTGTATTTTTTTGTTTTGTTCTGTTTTGTTTTGTTTTTGAAGTAGGTCTGGAATGCAGCCCAGGGATCTGTATCTTTAGAAAGCACACCCAGGTGATCCTGATACCTGGGCAGGTTTGGAAACCATTGCTACAATCCTATGATGCCTTAGATGCAAATTAAGAAAAGTTGAATTACAAGGAAGCAGTGGCTTCTGCACAAAAGAATGATGTGATGTTTCTCTGTTGGTTAGAATAATTCAATTCTAGACATGAGTAAGGAAAACCACTCACCAAAAACCCCACTTGAACCACTGAACCCTGCCTGCTTTGGGTGGGGCTAATTCCTCTTACCAAACAACTCTCAGCTCAGACCCACACCTGAGAACTATCAGGAAGAGAGGCATCATTGCTGGTTGAGGCGTGAGGTGTTCCCAGGCCTAGACCAAATGCAGGCTACATAAGGGTGGTTCTGCCCCATGCTTCCCCCATCATTGGCTTCCCTAAGACCCAGAGACTGGAAGCTAAGATCTTATCCCTATTAAATCAGCACTAGAATTTTTACATGAAGAGATATAAGTTTTCTGTCATCATGGGGCAGGGGGTTGAAAGGGGGAAAAGGGGAGAACTTAGGCTGGATGAGCACTTAGTAGGCTTAATGTAGGGGACACTGAAGCATTAGATGGGGTGGGGATGCGCTGTTTTCAAAACAACTAGAGTAAACTTCAAGGCCCTATTTAGTTATCTAATCTCAAGTCCACTAAAATTTCAAGTCAGGCTTGGCTCTGAAACCTGGAGAGTGGCACCATCCAATAGAACTTTCTACAATGATGGAAATGTTCTAGATCTACACTGTCCAATATGCAGCTATTAAGCACTTGAAATATGGCTAATGTGGTTTAGGGGGGAAGTTTAATGTTATCTAATTTTAATTTCAGTCTAAGTAGCCAATGTGATTAATGACTACCATATTGGACCACACAGTCCTAGAGGGACTATCCCAGCCTTGTCTTGCACTTTATGATCTGAGCTGCCTATTCAACACCAGCTTTTAGGAAAACACCACAGTCCAAAGCATGAGAACACAAAAGCTCTGACAAAGAACAGACAGGAGGCATTGGAATACGTGTCCCTCTCCCCACACACAGTGTCAGGGGCGACCACCATGAGGGACCCACCAAGGAAATCAGCCTCTGCCCAGTATTCTCGGCCACCTTAAGGATAAAGCAAAAATGACTTCATGGGTAATCCAAGCAACTGTGAAGAACCCAGTGATTAAACTTCATCCCAAAACAACAAACCAAAGCCCAAATGCAGCATATTGCCCTTGTAACTTTTCTCTGTGCTGTGCGTGACAATGACTTGACTTGCTTTACTTTCTATTTTTCTTCCTCCAATCAGCCTCTTCTTATTGTATTTATGCTTCATTACCCACTTTTTCACCAGCCAGGCTTACTTGTATCCTAAGCCCAAGGAATTACACGATTAAGCCAATTTGGTCAACCAGTCAATTGGGTGAGAACTCCAGATGGAAATGGTCATTGGGCTGAACTGATAAATGAACCAGAGCCCTGTGCTGTAGGATGGAAGGGACCTTCCAGTTTCTCTTTGGTCCATGCACATGGACCTTTGATTGGGATAGTTCTGCCCTCATATAAGTGTCAGGGAAAGTGGCTCTTAAATTGGCAAAATCCAAAATCCACTAACAGATGGAGAAAACAGTAATTGGGAACAGTAGGGGCCCCTCTTCTATCCTTTCACCAAGTATGTCCCAAGGGCCTCCTGTGCATCAGGCACTGCATTAGGCTCCCACAGTAGGACAGATAATGTCTTTCTTCCATGGGACTTAAAGCAGCAAAAAGGTAGCAAACAGCTGTTTATTGAGTGTCCACCTCATAAGAGGTATCCACATCTCATAACACTCCTGCAAGGTAAATCTTACCATCCTCATTTTATAGATACGGAAGTGGAAGCTCCAATTTGTCCCAACTTTCCTTGGTCTGTGTGCTCTTTTTGCTTTTCTTCCCTGGCCACACGTGCATTCTCTTCCTCTACCTCTTGAAGGATTCCAAACTTTTTTTAAGGCTATTCCCTTATCAGAAGACAGTAAGGGTGCCCAGGAGACCTGGTGAGCCAGAGACCAATTACCAGGGTCTAAGGCAAGAAGGAGGAATCACCGCTGCCCCAACCCAAGAAGAATGTGGCTTCCTACAGGCAATATCATAGTTAAGCAAACAGTATTTCAGAAAAAACTTACCGGCCACCACACCATACTCCGTCCTGCCAGGAAGAAGCCTCCAACGGTCCCACGATTAGTGGAAAACATAGCCTGAGGAGGAAAGGGTCAAAAGTTTAATAGAAAACTAGAACAGAGTGACCTTGCCAGCCAGAAGGACACATCTCCCCATACACTCGCACTTCCTTCTCCCCACTTCACATGCACCCTGGACCGCCAGTGTGCTCAGATGGAGTAGGCAGAGACCGACATATGACCGACTAGGAAACTGAGGCTCACAAAGTTTAAATGCTAACTCTGCAGTGAGCTTATGGTGTGGCTTTGAACAAATCACTCCACCTGGATCTCTCTGCAAGGGGAAGTGGAAATGTTTATGGCTTTTTTACAAGCATACTCAAAGTGCCTGGTAAAACATTATAGTTTTTAAAAGCTCCGCTCGGTATGTGTAGTATATCTCAATAATGCTGAAGAAAAGGAAGGGTGGGAGGGAGGAAAGAAGGAAGGAACTAAAGAAATGCATAGCAATCATACTAAATATTACATAAAAGACTAAACATTCAAACTTAATTCAAAACTATCCTCTTTGGGGATGTCAATAGGAGCTTGCTAGAAAAATTACTTTTCAATGTATTCTGAATACCACAAAATAATTATTATCACAAAGACAGAGAAAGGAGGAGATTCCCTCTCATTGGGGTGTGAGGAAAGGATTCACAGAGAGGGCAGCATTTCATCAAGTCTTGAAGCAAGAGGGGCATTTGCTAGTCAGAGAAAAGAAGGAAAGGACATTTCAGACTTCAGGAGCAGCACAATGATGACCCAGAGGTAGATCCGCACCACTGTGACAAGGAGGGAAAGGTGAATAATGTCATCTGATGGACCTGGTTAAGGTGTATGGATGGGGAGAGTGGGCAGAAGTGAGGACAGGCCACAGGCCCTCAAATGCCGGGCTAAAAAGTATAGGCTTTATTCCATAGACAGTAGAGAGCCACTGAAGGTTGATGAGAGAAGAATGACTCACATTTTCAATACATGACCACCAAGCCCCTATCACAGCTCCTTGGAATGTTGCCTCTGAACCTTCAGTACTTCCTGGTCCAGCTCAAGTCCAGGCCCAGCCCTCTAGCAGTAAAGGAGGACACTGTCTCTGCCCTGGCCTCCTTCCCCTTTGCTTTCTCTGTGTCAATGGCCTCCCTTAGCTGAAGCTTGCTAATCTCCCTAAAAATGCCAATGGATGAAAACAGCCCTGTCAGAGGCGTTTATGTTTTCATAGGTGACCTCTGAGGCTGAAGATTATCACTGATCCAAAGGCATTAACCTCTGATGGTGACATTTCAAGCACTTAGGAACCCATCATTCATTCAGCAAACATGACTGCTACAGATAGCATGTTGCTGCGTCCTCAGTCTGCAAAGATGTGCTAGACTTAGTCCTTCAGGGAGCAGGACCATTCATGCATCCATACAATCAATGTAGATCTGGTGCACACTCCTCTGTGCTAGGCAGTGCCAGGGAGAACACAGCTCAGATATTTCTGGACTCCTGGCAGGGTCCTCTCTTCCATAGGACATACACTTGGGTCTCTGTTGTGGTTTTTCTGAGAAGAGCAAAAAAACTAGTAGAACCAAGGAGCAGACAAGGTAGCTAAGGCTGAAACAGAAATAAGTCCCAAGAACTCAGGCTCCAACAGCTGGCCAGGGAGAGACCATTCTGAAGATCATTCTGAAGTTGAAGAATGTTGATACTTTTCTAAAAAAAGAATGTTGATACCCCCCAGGCAGGGTTGGAGGGACAGGAAGAGTGGAGTTGGAATCCGAGCATAACATTTCCAAACTGGTCTTCAACACAAAGAGACTAGAGGATGAATATGAGGCCAGAGGCTTGAGTGTGGAGTTGGAAGAATTCAGGAGCCATGCTGGGGATGGATAAAAGGTGAGGAGAGGTATACCTATATCCAGCCTTTTCCTCTCTAGAACATTCATCCACTCCTTCACAAAAGTGCAGGCCCTGCATAACCACCCTTCAAGGACTCTCCAAACACAACCTTCACCATGAAGCCTCACCCGACACGCCCCCACAGAACCTTCTCCTCCCCTCCCTGAACAAACATAAGCTCTCTCTCCTGTGAACATCTAGACAACTCCATTTATACCTCATACATGCCTCTTATCATCTTTTTTACCTTATATTATATTATGAATTTTCTTTCCAGCTTTATCCAAGTATCTTAACAAATAAGAATTGTATATATTTAAGATGTACAATGTGATGTCCTGATATACATATTCATTACCAGAAGCCAGGGAATGAGGGAAATGGAGAGGTGCTGGTCAAAGCTACAAACTTTCAGTTATAAGATGACTAACTTCTGGAGATCTGATGTCCAGCATGGTGACTGTAGTTCATAATACTGCATGGTGCAGTTAAACTGGCCAAAAGAGTAAATCTTAAGTGTTCTCAACACACCAAAATATACAGATAGGTAGGTAGGTAGGTAGATAGATAGATAGACAGACTGACCATGTGGGGTAATGGATGTGTTACTTAGTTTGATTGTGGTAATCATTTTACAAATATTTAACCCCCCCCCCATAATGCTTAATATAATGCCACGTGCATGGTGCACTTCAGTAAAAACTTAAATGAACGGGATTCACAATTTTCTCAGGCTCCATTCTTTCCCCTTCACCCACCCTTAACACTTTATGGAAATGAGCAACACCCCACCCTCCACCCCCACCCCATTCTAGGCAGGCATTCTGCAAACAGTCTGTCAACATCATTCAGTAGGTGCTTCCTGGGGCATGCATGGCAGCTCAGGTATACTGACTTCTGTCTCCCCAATGCTCACTCCCTACAAATAGAAACACACTATCTCCATGAGCACCGGCTGCTCAAAGGAAAACTCTAACATTCCAGACTTCACTCTGTAACCTATGGCATTAAATCTGCCCGTGGACCCTGCAACTAGAAGAGAATTATTCCACTACTGCAAGGAGCAGGAGCCAAAGAAGTGCAACTATTGACCCACATAATTTTTTTCTCAATGGAATAAAAATATCATTGAGCAAAAGGAACTGGGGATGTTGGGCCTAGAGAAGGGAAGACTCAGGTGTGGCCTATAGCCTTCTGACACGTGAAGTGGGACAGACTCACTCAGTGTGGCCAACATAAGGCCCAGCCAGACACAGTGGGAAAAACTCTAAGACATCAGATCTGAGCTCAGAACAAAAAAGAATTTCCTCACTGTCAGAGATGTCCAGAAGTGGAAACGGGGCCACTGGGAAGAGTTTTTGCTGCAAGTATTCTAGTGAAGTGTTGGCAAAATGTCAAGATGATTTTGTCAAAAGGCTTAAAGAAGAGACTCAAGCATAGGATGAAGATAAACTGTAGGCTCTCGCTTTGTAAAAATATGTAAGGGAAGAATTCAGCACCCCCAGGACACAGCCACAGTAATGCAAGTGGTGGTAAGAACCCTGGAGAGGATATCCCAGAAATGAAATAGCGTCTTAGGAAGGAGGAAACATGAGATAATGCAAAGAGCATTGCCTGTGGAATCTTAAGACCTGAGTTCTAGTCCCAGCTCTGATGCTGATTCATCTGAGTGACTTCTGGTCACCCTTTCGGACCCTCATCTGAAAATGGAAATGTTGGGCTCCCCAGTGGTCATTGCTACTCAGGTATCCAAGGATGCTATTAGTGCAAATGACCACATAAGGACCTCTGGCCAAGACAGAGGCATAGATAGACATGCTTCACCTCCTCGAACAACCATAAGAAGGATCACAACTAACCTCAAAACAAAAAACAACTAAAACTGCCAGAAAATTGAACCATATGGAAGTCCAACAACCAAGGATTTAAAGAAAAAATATTCATCCAGACGGGTAGGAGGAGCAGAGACAGGGACCAGGGGCAGAGAGCACATGGTATGGTGGCAGCGAGGTGGCCAGCAGAACAGGCAGCCCCACATTCATGTGTGGCAGATAAAAACTGGGGGACACCTGGAGAGCAAGCAATCCCAGCCCCAGGTCAGACTGCACAGCCCAGGGTTCCAGCGTAGAGAAATAAAGCCTCATAACTTCTGACCGTTAAAAACCAGCGTGGGGTGGGGAGGCAGAAGAAACTGCCAGTCTCTCAGGAGAGTCCATTTAAAGGACCTGCACAGTCCTAGAATGTCCACAAACCCACCCACTCTGGGATTCAGCACCAGGGCAGTAGCTAGAAGGGCACCATTCATACACGGGAAGTGGGAGAAGTGACTAGAAACGGGGCAAAAGCCAAGCAAGCAGCATTTTCCCCTCTCTGACCCTACCCCCACATACAGTGCCACAAAGCAGTGAAGGAAGAGGGTTGCCCCACCCTGGTGAATACATAAGGCACCACCCCTTACATGTAACAGGTGGGCCAAGGCAGGGAGTCAAAGCCACTCTGCCTAACACACAGAAACAAACACAGGGGAGTTGCCAAGTTGAGGAGACAAAAAATATGGCCCAAATGAAAGAACAGATCAAAACTCCAGAAAAAGCCCTATCTGGTGTAGCTCAGTGGATTGAACTCAGGCTGCGAACCAAAGTGTCACAGGTTCGATTCCGAGTCAGGGTACATGCCTGGGTTGCAGGCCATGACCCCAGCAACTGCACATTGATGTTTCTCTCTCTCTCTCTTTCTCCCTCCCTTCCATCTCTAAAAAATAAATAAATAAAATCTTTTTTTAAAAAAAGAAGAAAGAAAGAACAGATCAAAACTCCAGAAAAAGCCCTGGCTGGTGTGGCTCAGTGAATTGAGTACCAGACTGTGAACCAAAAGGTCACCAGTTGGTTTCCTAGTCAGGGCGCATGCCTGGGTTGCAGGCCCGGTCCCCAGTAGGGGGTGTATGAGAAGCAACCACACATTGATGTTTCTCTCCCTCTTTTTCTCCCTCCCTTCTCTCTGTCTAAAAATAAATAAATAAATCTTTAAAAAAGAAAAAAGAATGATTCCAGAAAAAGAACTAAGTGAAACAGAGGTAGCCAACTTACCAGATGCAGACTTCAAAACACTGGTGATCAGGATGCTCCGAGAACTCAGTGAGTATGGCAAACACATAAGGGAAGAGATAAAGGCTACACTAAGTGGAATAAAGAAAAATCCACAGATAACCAACAGTGAAGGGAAGGAAGCCAGAGTTCAAATCAACGAGTTGGAACATAAGGAAGAAATAAACAGTCAACCAGTACAGAATGAAGAAACAAGAATTCAAAAACATGAGGAGAGAATGAGAAGACTCTGGGGCATCTCCAGACATGCCAATATCCAAATCATAGGGGTGCCAGAAGGAGAAGAGGAAGAGCAAGAAACTGAACACTTATTTGAAAAAATAATAAAAACAAATTTCCTTAATTTGGCAAAGGAAATAGACATACAACTCCAGGAAGCACAGACAGTCTCAAACAAGTTGGACCCAAAGAGGGCCACACCAAAATATGTCATAATTAAAATGCCAAAGGTAAAAGATAAAGAGAGAATCTTAAAAGCAGCAAGAGAAGAGAGTTACCTACAAAGGAGTTCTCATAAGACTGTCAGGTGACTTCTCAAAAGAAACTTTGCAAACAGGAAGGGACTGGCAAGAAATACTCAAAGTTATGAAAAGCAAGGACCTACAACCTACATTACTCTATCCAGCAAAGCTATCATTTAGAGTGGAAGGGCAGACAAAGTGCTTCCCAGACAAGATAAAGCTAAAGGAGTTTATCATCACCAAGCCCTTATTATATGAAATATTAAAGGGACTTATTTAACAAAAAGAAGAGGATCAAAACTGTGAACAGTAAAATGACAACAAACTCACAACTATCAACAACTGAATTTTAAAAAACCAAAACAAAAACAAACTAAGGAAACAATTACAACAGGAACAGAATCATAGAAATGGAGATCACATGGAGAGTTATCAGCAAGGAGGGGGCAGGAGGAGAATGGCGGGAGAAACTACAGGGATTAAGAAGCATACATGGTAGGTATAAAATAGATGGGGGGGATGTTAAGAATAGTATAGGAAATGGAAAGCAAAAGAACTTATATGCATAACCATGGACATGAACTAAGTTGGGGAGGATTGCTGGAGGGAAGACGGGTACCTGGCAGAGAGGGTCAAAGGGGGATCAATTGGGAAAACCATAATAGTATAATCAATAAAATATATTTTTAAGAAATAATAAATAAATAAAATAGCTAGGCCCTCAAAAAAAAATGGTCACATAAGGCAGGGGCCGGTAAATGTTTTCTGTGAATAAAAAAAGGCAGATAGTAAATATGTTTTGTGGGATACATATGAGACCCACCATGTATTCCTCTTGGTTTGCTTTGTTTTTTACAACCTCTTAAAAGTGTCAAAACCATTCTTAACTGTGGGCCACACAAAACAGACTGTGAGCCAGATTTGGCCAATGGGTCATAGTTAACAAACCTTAGCATAAAGGGCTTAAGGATAGTTTAATGAAATGTTCCAAAAAGAATAAAGTAGGAGAATCAGCCTAAAAGCATACAAAATCCCCCAAGAAACAAGCTGAGAGGTAATGAAAGAAAAAAATGGAAACACACAGTTAACCCTTGAGCAACATGGGGGTTAGGAGCACCAACCCCCATGAACTCGAAAATCCACATTATAACTTTTGACTCCTCAAACACTTACCCACAGTCATCCCTCGATGTCCATGAAAGATTGGTCAGAGAAGCCCTGTGGACACCGAACCCACAGACGCTCAAGTCCCTCACACAAAATGGCACAGAACAATGCATACAGTCAGCCAGCCCTCCAGGTGGGCAAGTTCCTAACCAAGGACTGAAAATAATTTGCTATCCCTGGTCACTTGACTCCACAGATATGAAACCCCAGGGTACAGAGGGCCAACCTAGTATTTATTGGAAAAAATCTGCATATAAGTGGGCCCACAGAGTTCAAACCCATGTTGTTTAAGGGTCAACTGTACACCAAAGAACAAGTTCAAGCCCCAGTATGATTGGATGAGGTAGTGTTGGAAGAGGATAAAACATAACGAAACACTGTTAGAAGAGACGGGGATGGGGACAGAGGGACATTGGCTGTGTCTTTTCGAAGCTGAAGAAGCACAGTGGGGCTGGCTCGCTCTGTCTCTGCAGCCCAGAGACCATGCAGGAGTCAGGATGCCTGACCCTGAACCAAGCCATTCTTGACACTCCAGGAGAAAGAAAGAGGAATGTAAACTGGAAGAAATTCAACACATTAAATGATCAGGGTCCAGAGGGGGGAGATTAAACGTGGACAGATACTAGCAGACTCATTAAAGAGCACTTAACAGGACTAGGGATGCTGATTCACAAATATTTGAAAAGAATAAACACCATAATCCTCAGGACTGGTAGGGCTAAATAAAATGAGATTGCTTAAGGGAATAGAGATTATCGGTGATTGTCTGGGAAACAGGCAATACAACACAGTGAGCAAATGATGGATTCACCTGTTGGCTCCAGCTCTTACCAAGCTGTGGAGGAGCAGAAGGAGGGAGGCAGGCCAGGCAGCAAAGTACCTGGTACCCTGGAAAAGAGACCTGAGCTCCAGGAACAATTCCATGCATTGCAGCCTCAGAAAATCACAGCCACATGGGGCTTTGATTTGTTCTTCTGTAAAATGGGGACTAACATTCTTGCCCTCTCTGTCTCACAGCTTTTTGTCAAGGTGTCCTGGCCAGCTGACCACTTTTGTCCATTTTACTTAAAAGGACAAAAAATAATTCAGGGCCTGGATCACACCCTCAAGGGAAAAATAACCATAGTATTTTTAAAGGTTTCTAGCATTCCTAATGAGCTTTCAGACTCAGCTCTGCCGGTCCTCACAACAACCTGGGGGAGTCATAAGGGTAAGTAACATTGTGCCCATTTTATATGTGTGTAAACTGAGGCCTGGGTAACGTGTCTGAAACCACGTCAAAGCCGTTACTACACTTGAGAACCAAGCTTCTGATTGGACACTTCTGGGAAGCCGAGGGTTTAGAGGAAGAGCCAGTCACACCAAGCCCTTGTGACAGTTGGGGAGGCTTTCAGTCACATCTGGTTTCTGCAATTACTAAAAAACAAAACAACTTCTTTTTATCCCTAAAAAATCTCCGTGGCCATGGAAGGGTTAATGTCCACCCTCCTCCTGGTCTGCCACCCTTCCCGAGTAGCTGGAACTTTTTTTTTCGCGCATTTAAGACACCTCTTCTGGTTGATGGGTGTGCCAGTCTGTCACAAGTGAAATTTCCATGTCTCGGGCTTCTAAGAACAAGTTTCTCAGGTTCAGTATGTCCTCAGAGTCCCAAAGGGGAGCCACGGGCATTTCCCTCTTCCCGGTGCCAGGCCACCTCCAGACTTCCTCCCCCTCCTCCTCAGCTCAGCTTTCCTCTCACTGGCTCCAGCCCCTGGGATCCCACAGCACAAGGCCTTCAGGCCAGCCTTTCGCAGGAGGGGGACGCGGAAAGCGTCCTTCTGTTGGCTGCCCTCCAGCACCTGCGACTGGCAGAGGCCTGTGCCCTTCCCCACCCACACTGTTTCTTTTCCACCCGGACCTGGATGACGGAGAGGCTCCAGGACAGAACCGACCTCCTCCCAAGCCTGGGAACCCTCCCTGCAGCTGCGGGCTGGCCCTCTCCTGCCCCTCACACCCTGTCCCCATCTCGCGCCCTCCTTCTCTGCTCACAGGTCCCCAGTGTGCATCTTGCGTGCTGGCCAGCGCCCAGGTCACTTCTGCTCATCCTTACTTGCCTCCTCACTTCACACCGCGCCCCCTGACTTCCTCCCTTAAGCTCTTCCAAGTCATTTCCACTTGGCTCCACACACCTTTAAGGCCATCCTCCCGCCCCTCCTTGCAGTTCACCCAGGCCTTTGCTCCTCCGTGCGCCCCTCTCGTCCCTCCCGGTGGCCCTCGCTCCGTCAGCGAGTGTCCCAGGGCCCCTACGTACCCACAGCCCGACAGCCATCACCACCACGAAATACACGACGATGACAGAGATGTCGGCTGCATTCCGGATGCGCTCGTGGGGCGCAAGGGTGCTATTTTCCATGGCGGCGGGGTTGAGGTGTGCCTACCGCCGAGGCCACTCGCTCCTTACAAGGCCTTTGGGTTAATGATCAGCCTCGGAGGAGGGCACCCACGAAGTCGCGGTAGCCAGGCGGCGGTGCGAGACCCCTGCGCGGCGCCGTCGGGGAGCACCTGTGGAGCAGCTCAAGACGCCAGGCACGGGACGAGCAGCGAGCGTTCCACTGCCGGCGGGGCGGCTGCGGGCCGGCAGATAAGGCCATTTGCCAGCGGGGAGGGGCCGGCCAGGGGGTGGTGCCCGCCTGTCAAAAGAGCCAGCCGTGCTCCCGCAGCGGGCATCCGACGGATCTCTGGAACTGCCGCCCCACCACTCCCAAGCAGAGAGCAGGAGTGGCTCCATTGAAGAACCGCGCTACCTGGGGCCAAACGCCCAGCGGCTTCACGACACCTGTCACCTGCCCTTGGAGCAGTCCCAGGCCCTCTGTGGACTTTGCTTCTTCACATATAAAATGGGTGCAGGACTGGCTGGTTTCAGGAAGCAGCCAAGTTCTTGGTCTCCATGGAGAACATTCTGGGGAGGACAGAGAGTTGTTGGATGTTGCTGGTAAGAGTTCAGCACAACTGCAATCTCTTGCCCATTGGATGACCACCGGATGACCACCCACTCACCCACACTTCGGTCTCCCCCTCCACAGCCTGCAGCCTTCAGGGGCACTGTTACCCTACCCTAAGGAGGGAGAAACTGAGACTAGGAAAGGGAATCCTCTACTAAGAGCTATTTTCTTGCCCTGTGTTTCACCCAATAATGCGATTTGGTGCCCTTCTCTGGCATGCAGGAGGAAAGAGTCCAGAGAATCCTTGCCAAGGAGTTCATCAAACCCTGACCCTTCCTGGGGGCTCAGCCCATCTGGAAACACACAGTCAGGGTTCAGACCAGAGACCACTGAGAAGAGGAGGCATGACTCACCCAAGGTCATGCTGTGAGCCAGTGATAAACGTGGTTCTGCAGTCCAGGCCAGAGCAAGCCCAGTTCAGAGGATGACTGGGAGATGCTCTCAGGCACTGATGCTGGAGACCAGAGCAGCCACTTTGGGAAGGAGGGAGGGAGGGAGGGAGGGAGGGAGGGACGGGGAGGGGGCCTTAGTGGGGTTATGAGGTACAGGTGAGGAAGGGGAAGACCACACAAACCCTGCCAGGACGCTGTTCTGCCTCAGGCTCCCCCTGCACACCACCTGACAACCACCCACAGCCCAAATACCAGCGGTCTGCCACTTTGCAACTTGCCTTAGCACTTTGCACTAATGTCATCCCTGCCTTTCAGAAGTTTCAAATCCACACACGTGCTTATTGGGTGTGGGGTTTCCTTTTGAGGTGGTGAAAACGTTTTGGGATGGGATAGACGTGGCAGTTTCATGCATTAGATGCCACTGGGCTCTTCACTTAAAAAACGGTTAATTGTATGTTTTGTGAATTTCACCGCAATTTTTTTTAAAATGCACAAAGCAACAAGCCAGAGATAATAAAATTTTAATTCCCCACCAGATTCATTCTCCCTAACCTACTGGCAGGTCCTAAAGTTTTCATGACTTTCATTCATTTATTCAACAAGTCACTTTAAGAGAATGAAAAGGCAAGTTTATTTTGCCATCAAAAGAATAATCTCTCCCATCTTATGACTGGTCCCATCTTATGAAGTACATTGAGAACTTCATTCATTCATTCATTCTTTCAGAGTATGCACTCTACACCAGCCACCATGGTTACGAACATGGATGAGACGCAGTCTCCGCAATGAACATGGGAGGGCTGCTATCACTTCAACATCCTGACTTCACTTCCTCTGCACGTGTCTGTCCCCAGAAGTAAAATGGCTGGATTGTATAGGAGTTCTAGTTTTCATTTTGGAGCACCCTCCTTGCTGTTCCCACAGTGGCTGTATCAATTTACATTCCCACGAGCAGTGCACAAGGTCCCCTTTTCTCCACATCCTGGCCAGCGCTTGATTTGTCTTTTTAATAATAGCCCTTCCAACAGGTATAAGGTGGTATTTCACTACGCTTTCAATTTTCATTTGCCTGAAGATTAGTAATCTTGAGAACCTTTTCATGTGCCCATTAGTTCCTCCTATATTGTATGAGTTCTTTATATTTTTTGGATATTAAGAAATGGTCATGACCTGCCCTGGCTGGTTTGGCTCAGTGAGTTGGGTGTCGTCCCACAAACCAAGAGGTCGCCGGTTTGGTTCCTGGTCAGGGCACACACCTGGGTTCAGTCCCCGGTCGGGGTGTGTGTGAGAGACAACCAGCTGATCTTTCTCTCCCTCTCTTTCTCTTTCCATTTTCCTCTCTCTAAAATCAAAAATAAAATAAAATTTTTAAAAATGGTAACCATTTGAGGTGATCAATGCATTGATTAACTTCATTGTGGCAGTCATTTTACTATGTATATGTGTATATCAAATCATCACACTGTGTACCTTAAATATGTATAATTTTGTCAATTACATCTCAACAAAGTAAGAGGAAAAGAAGAAAATGCATACTAGCAAAAAAGAAAAAGACACAACTTCTACCCTGAGCCCTCCCAGACTATCAAAGAAAGCATACAACCAATACGTTCGTGCCATTCCCTATGCAAGAACACTTTCTCCCCAATTCTTCACCTGGCTAAGTCTCATAATCATTTCATCTCAGCTTAAATTTCTTCCAAGAGGTCTCCTGACTGGCACTGCACCCCTCACCTAAAAGGTCTCTGAGAACCCTGTTCTCCAGCCCAAGTCTCGTCCTTCCTACACTTGTCTCCATTTTTAATCCATACTTAGTCATATAACTATACATTTAATGTCTATAGCCCCCACTAGACTGTAAGCATGAAGGTGGTGTCACTGTCTCTTGACTGTCACTATGCCTACAACCAAGGCAGGCACACACTAGATGCTCAATAAATGTTATATAGGCAAATAAATGCATTAAAATCACTAACACAAACAATTATAACTTGACAGGTGTTCTGATAGTGAGGCAAGGTAAGACAGAACATGCCTAACTTTGTCTCACTAAGGGAGAGAAGCAAAAGAAATAATCGTTAAGAGGGGATACTTGGTCATGCATCCCTCAATTTAAAAAAGAGGGAATATTTGCACTGAATCTTAAGGGGATGTAGGAGATCCTGAAGCAACACAGTTGGGAGAGGTTTTGAGACGCGAGGGCACAGAGTATGCACATTCAGGGAATGCTAAGTGCTTGCAGTGGGCATGGCTGGGCAGAACACAGGATGTAAGGCCAGAACTAGGGATGGGAACTGGACCTCAGGGAACCTTGCATGTCATATCAAGTATCCTGAATTCACTCCACAGAATACTGGGGAGCCAATGAAGTGTGGATTCCTAGCCTTAGGCTGATAGAACCCTCAGAGATGGGTTTTGAACATTTGTGGACCCCATAAAATTGCATGCACAATTATGGTCAGATTTGTGTTTTCTTCAAGAGAGGAACCATGGCTTTCACCAGATTCTCAGAAAGACTGATGACCTGAAAAAAGGTTAAGATCCACCACCTGCCCTGACCCTCCTAACAAAAACAGCCCCACCGCCTTTCATGACTTTCACTGTGCTCATTACAAAATTTAAATATGTTATTGACGTATTTCCTTACTTGTTTATTGTCTATCTTCCTCTCTGTGAGGGCAGGGCTTTTTGTCCTTTTTCTTTTTTTTTTTTTTTGAATGATTTTATTTATTTATTTTTAGAGAGAGAATGGAGGGAGAAAGAGAGAGAGAAACATCAATGTGCGGTTGCTGGGGGTCATGGCCTGCAACCCAGGCATGTACCCTGACTGGGAATCGAACCTGTGACAGTTTGGTTCGCAGCCCGCGCTCAATCCACTGAGCTACGCCAGCCAGGGCATTTTGTCCTTCTTCTTGGAAGGTCTATCTCCAATGTCTAGCACACATGCCCTGGAACATACAGAGGTCAATAAATACCTGTTGACCAAATAAATCCTTCTGTCAGTGTTCTTTTTAATTGTGGTAAAATACACATAACATAAAATTTACCATCTTAACCATTTTGAAGTGTTACAATTCAGTGGTATTAAGTACATTCATGTTGTTGTACAACCATCACCACCATCCATCCAGAGAACTTCCTTCACCTTGCAAAACTAAGACCGTGCCCCATTGAACAGCAACTCCCCATCTTCCTACCTGCACCCAGGCCGTGGCAGCTATCACTCCACTTCCTGTCTCTGTGACTTTGACTGCTCTGCCTCATGTAAGTGGGGTCATGCATACAATGTGTGTCCTTTTGTGACTGGCTTAGTTCACTTAGCACAATATCCTCAAGGTTCATCCATGTTGTAGCATGTGTCAGAATTTCCTTCTTTTTAAAGGTAATTCCATTGTATGTATATGCCACATTTTGTTTATACCTATTGATTCACTTGGATTGCTTCCACCTTTTAGCCATTATGAACTATGCTGATATGAACATGGGTGTGTATTTTGTAGCCCTTCTTAGAATACAAGTAGTCAAAGTATGGATAGGTAGATGAATGGATGGATGGACTGATGGATGGATGGATAGAGAGATGGGTAGAAAAATGAAAGAGTTCTGAACTGAGAGTGATATCTGTTTCCTGTCCTGTCTGTAACACTTTCCATCTGCATGACACACCTAACATCACAGATACTGTGAAGTCACAGGTGATGCCATTGTTACAGTAACAGTACTATTGAATTAAAGGAAATTTCAAAATACTTTTAAGGATGAGTAACTGTGCTATTTCATGATCACAGCTGGCATGCATTGGTGAAAGGATTATGTATGAGACTTTAAGGTGCTGCTGACTAAGAAGAATGGGGCTTCCTGGAGTGGCAACCCTGGGAAGGAAGGAATTCATGTTGGGAAACCACAGTCAGTGTCAAATATAAAATAAGCAATACCTTTGTAAAAACAGCAGAAACAGAGTCACTGAAATTTCAGGACATTATTCCATAGAGGCTGTTGGCAGTAAATGGTTCTAAATGTCAAAGACGCATGTATAGCCCTGGCCAGATGGCTCAGTTGGTTCGAGCATCATGCCGTACACCAAAAAAGGTTGTGGGCTCAATCCCCAGTCAAGGCACATACCTAAATTGTCAACTCGATCCCTAGTCATGCCAACAGGAGACAACCAATCAATGTTTCTCTCTCACATTAATGTCTCTCTCTCTCTGTCTCTC